TATTTAATTTTTTCTTCAGGAATTTCCAGAAACTTTTTGACTGGGTGAAATGATGAAGGTCAAGAGCAGTAACTTCGGTTGTCATGATCATTTCTGATTTTCGGTTTTTTTTATGTTTGAAGTATGATTTCCTTTTAAGTTCAATTCATTTCCTCTGTAAAGAGGAAGGCAAACTCCACCAGCGAACAGCAAAAGTGTAAAGGTCACGAAAAGCGTGATTGATATACAGTTTCGAAAGTGGATTTTTATGTTCAGATATCCCAGCGTGTTTACACTAGCAATCAGTTTAGTGTATTATTACGAACCTTCATTTTTTTCTAAGCTAACTCGCAAATATAAGTGCTCACTCATATGGAAATTTCACTGTAGCATTGGAAGTTGCATAGCGTCTGTTCTCTGCTTTTTTTGTTACTTGTGTTTGGTATCTTTTAAGTTTTCGTAGCTGAGTGGTTAGGGCGTGAGACTCTTAATCTGCAGGTCGCAGGTTAGAATTTGAGACGTTGTCGATTTTTTAAAACTAATTCGAGGTTTATTTATAGTTTTTTTTTGCACTTTTTAGTGCTGATTTTTCTCGTGTTCTCGCTAGTGTTTGCGAAGCGAAGCTTCGTCGCCTCTGTGTTCAAAATTTATTTTTTTAATCAGTTTTTTTTTTCAAATTGGGCTAGTTTTTCTAGAAATTCAAAGAGCTCTAAGTCCATATTTTGTTTTCTTGAAAATTTGTAAGTTGAAGTTTTTTTTTCAAAAAGAAGTTAGTTTTTTTTCTGTTTCCTTGCGTTGATTACTCTTTTCCATCTAACAGTTTTATCTTGTTTTGTGATAAGCAAATTAATTTTAATGAAGGATTGTAGCCAGGCCCGGTAACTGGTTCATATTATTTGAACTAGTTCATATGGTTCATGTTTGATTCTTATTTGAATCAGAGTTAATGTTTCAGCAAATATTCGGCTTTTCAGTTTTGCAAGTAGTTTTCTTTTATTTTCAGATAAACATCTAAAAAAAATTGGCATAGAAAGTCAAAAATGAAGCTGTTCGTTTTTGCAGTTTTGAGATGAAAAAATAAAAGGCGTCGCCTGTCCTATATATTTCTTCTTGGGCGATAGGAATCAACAAAGACGAAGTCAATAAAATTTTTTAGTCATTTTTTGATATTGAAACTTGTGCTTGAACTTAATGAAAATTTCATTTTCTGGGGCTAAATACATGGTTGATATTTTATTTTATGAAAAACTAGATGCCCAAAGTCACGTTGATTTTATTCGCATCACTCTTTCTAAGGTTTATCACCGTCGAACTGAAGATATCATTTGTGTTATTGGGGACAATGAGAGTACGAATAAGAAGCTGGAGGAGTGTGAAACAGTGTTGAGCAAAATCAACTTGCTGATGAAGTAGATGAAAACGATAAAAAAAAAGTATTAGGGCAGAAATAGAGTCTCCATGATATACGCTTACTTTTTGATGCTTTGACGAATATTTATCCTGTAACATTATTTTTCAACTTCTTCGAATATTATACATAGCCAGCTTTTCAAAAATGCTATCTTGAAAAAAAATCATGGGCTGGGTGAATTTGACCAGCGGCAGTTGCAGAATTTTGAACTGGAGAAAGATAGCAGAAATCGAAAACTATGAACCTGCGAGTCAATCAGATTTTGCAGAACAAGGTGCTGTCTGCAAAGAGAGTCAAAAACGAGCCTAAACTTGCATTGGTGCCGCCAACTTCCAACATTGCCGAGCGCTCATTCAGCATCGCAAAGTATATACTTACTCCCGAACGAAAAAGGCTGCTTTCACATCATGTGAAAGCTCTTATGTTCCTTAAGCTCAACCCTGATTTTTATGATGCTAAGCTTGCTTCTATCTTTAATTTACATTTTTGAGGGACTTTTTTGGTTTTGAGAGCATTAATTATAATTATTGCAATTATTATCCCATTGCAATTTTTATTAAGGTACAATTTAATTGCAATGCAATTTTTAACCAGCCTGATCCTAAGTGTCTCAAAATCATTTAGTCAAAAAGTTGTTGAAAACGACCCAGAGATGTCTTTTGAATCAGTTTTTTGCTTAAGATTCTTAACAGTTTTCCTAATTGACTATTTCTAACAGTTTTTCAAACTGAGAATCTCCCTCGCAATACTGGGTACTTTAAATGATAAAAGTTGTTTCGAAGAATCTTTTAAGAATCGTGAATGTAGTTAAAACTTTTATTTAATTTTTTCTTCAGGAATTTCCAGAAACTTTTTGACTGGGTGAAATGATGAAGGTCAAGAGCAGTAACTTCGGTTGTCATGATCATTTCTGATTTTCGGTTTTTTATGTTTGAAGTATGATTTCCTTTTAAGTTCAATTCATTTCCTCTGTAAAGAGGAAGGCAAACTCCACCATCGAACAGCAAAAGTGTAAAGGTCACGAAAAGCGTGATTGATATAAAGTTTCCAAAGTGGATTTTCATGTTCAGATATCCCAGCATGTTTACACTAGCGATCAGTTTAGTGTATTATTACGAACCTTCATTTTTTTCTAAGCTAACTCGCAAATATAAGTGCTCACTTATATGGAAATTTCACTGTAGCATTGGAAGTTGCATAGCGTCTGTTCTCTGCTTTGTTTGTTACTTGTGTTTTGTATCTAGTAAGCTTTCGTAGCTGAGTGGTTAGGGCGTGAGACTCTTAATCTCTAGGTCGCATGTTAGAATTTCAGACGTCGATTTTTAAAAACTAATTCGAGATTTATTTGTAGTTTTTTTTGCACTTTATCGTGCTGATTTTTCTCGTGTTGTCGCTAGTGTTTGCGAAGCGAAGCTTCGTCGCCTCTGTGTTCAAAATTAATTTTTTTAATCAGTTTTTTTTTTCAAATTGGGCTAGTTTTTCTAGAAGTTCAAAGAGCTCTAAGTCCATATTTTGTTTTCTTGAAAATTTGTAAGTTGAAGTTTTTTTCAAAAAGAAGTTAGTTTTTTTTCTGTTTCCTTGCGTTGATTACTCTTTTCCATCTAACAGTTTTATCTTGTTTTGGGATGAGCAAACCAATTTGAATGAAGGATAGTAGCCAGGACCGTTAACTGGTTCATATTATATGAACTAGTTCATATGGTTCATATTTGATTCTTATTTGAATCAGAGTTAATGTTTCAACAAGTATTCGGCTTTTTCAATTTTGCAAGTATTTTTATTTAATTTTCAGATAAACATCTAAAAAATTAGCTTAGAAAGTCAAAAATGAAGCTGTTTATGTTTTTGCAGTTTTTGAGATGAAAAAATAAATGGCGTCGGCTGTCCTATATAATTTTTCTTGGGCTATAGCAATCAACCAAGACGAAGTCAATAAAATTTTTTAGTCATTTTTTAGATTTTGAAACTTGTGCTTGAACTTAATGAAAATTTCATTTTTGGGGGCTAGATACGTGGTTGATGTTTTTTTTTCTGAAAGTTGGCAGGCTCGAATGAAGACTATGAGAAGATCACTAGTTTTTTTGGCGGTATAAACAGTTTTATATTTTTTCTTGCAAGCTAATAAAATCTGAAAAATCAGTATCAAGAAAAATTGAAAATTTGGTTTTTGTGAATCAATTATTTGTCAATTTTGCAGCGTTATGCCTAATTCGGTTGGTTTTTTCTTTACCATCTGAACTTCTCAACTTTGATTTCTTTGGGCAAAACATTCTGTGCTACTTGCGCAGCTACTTGTTTATCAATCACGATTAGGTACAAACTGTTATACGACTTAGGCGGTCACAACTGAAAAATGAACGGCTATCAACAATGAAAATGATCTCCTTATGTTACTGGTTATAAACGAATCAACTAGTGTTGGTTTTCGTTATTATCAGGTGCTCAGGTGCTTAATTATCGGGACCCCCTCACGATACATGATTTCAATGGTGAAATAGTTGTCCCGATAACAAAACGAGTATGTAAGTATGTAGTCACTCTGAAAAAACATAGCAAGCAATTTTGTAACACATATTTGTGTTTATCATTGTGGCTTCGATATAAAAATGAATTGAATTCAATTGAATATCTTTTATCTAATTTCAAAAGACAGCTCACCGCCACCCCCCTGGTTTCAGTAGTTTGTGGACACGCCTCGCCCCCGATACCTGATTTTAGAAGGTGAATCCATATCACGCATTGTTTTGACGTAGCCAATCAAGAAAAGTTTTTATAGTTAAGTTTGAGTTAGGATTCAAGTTTTTGTTTTCTGAAAAATTGACAACTGAGTTGCTACGCTTCTATACAATTAAGCGCGAGCGTGACACAGGGTCTGTGTCATTCTTCAGGTGCAGGGAGTTTTCTCTTTCTATTAATTCTATTCATGTGCTGCAGTACTGGATTAATCATTTTCTAGGCCATTGGCATCGGACAGCTTTGAAGCGGTAAGGTTGTTAGTATGTCTAATTCATTCCTAAAACTCAAGAGAGAGTTTCAACAGCGTTTTCTCAAATTGCGCTACTGGATTGAAGTCGTTTCCCTTCGTACCCTAAGAAGTTTAATCCTATCCGAGGCTGTGATGAATTCCGCCATAGGGACGGAAACTACCGACTTCGTTTTATCCCAAACCAGTTGAAAGGCATTTTAATAATCTGAGAAAATGAATTGTCAAACATTTGTAATATTATTAGTAATTGTTTGGATTTATTTATTGACTAGCTGTGTTTGACTGACCAGAGGCTAATTCCCTCGGATATATTTAAGGAGAATATCATTTTATTTCTGGGTTATTTGCAATCAGTTGCTCTCACCATTCCAAAAACTTTCCAGTTCGAATCCTGAAGATTCCATTTTTATGACCACTACTTCAATTTGGTGCTACCTGGCTCAAGTTAACAATTAAGGGTTTCGTAGCAAGTCCATTTATTGCAACATATGATCTTTTGAGCCGTCTTTTCAGGTTTATCGTGCTTAATTGTTAGGTGTCTCTTAACCAATTAATAACTTGTCTCAGTGCAAGTACAACCATTTGCGTGTGCCTGTGCGTTGATTGCTTGATTAAACTGGAGGCATGCCGAAACGGAACGCCAACACCAGATTGTCACTGGCACAGAGCCGAAGCCGCAGTTCAAACAAAGCGACCAAGCAAAGAAGGCCAGATAACAATCCGAGCACTGTTGCCGCTGTCAAAGAGCGTGATCCAATCGGATCCCGACATCAAACCAAGACTCGATTCAAGCACCACCGGAAAGTCGGCTCCGCCAGTACACCTCAAACAGTCGGTGCGAATAACACGAATGGTCCAAGTTTGGTTGTGGACTCAAGTGATATTAAACCAGGCCAATTAGCGTGTGAGACTCCTTTTTGGACCAATAGTAGCTTAGATCCAGAAACGGATTTAAACGATCGAGAGATTAGAGAAATTGAAAATAATTATAGAGCTAATTGTGATACTACGATTGCACAGATTAAGTCGTTCTCGCCTGAAACACACTCTCATAATATTAAAATTATTGCTAGTAACCAGAGGCCTGCTGAGCCCCAAAATAGTGCAAATAGCGCCGAAAAAATTTCCTCGCTCTTCTGTCCCAATCAAGTATTTGAATATCGATATCAAACAAAAGAACCTGAACCTGCATCTTTGTTATTTGCAGAGGACAGTACTAATATTGGTCCTGTTGGCCAAAATAATATTTACAGTCTGAGCCAGAGTAAAATTAATATCGAACACAGTAGTTATTGTATCGACATAGCAAAAATTCCGGCTCTCAAAGAGGACGGGATTCAATTGTTCGAGCATCTACCAGGTAGTTACGAAAAGAGTGCAACCAACGCGCCTCAAGGTATTCAGACCACGCAATCGCTTAGAGGTCGGAGTATTAAGTCGAATTGTGGGAGACGCAAATCGAAGAAACAGGCCAAGGAATCCGTGAGTGGGAATTTGCTAGTAGAACAGGCATCTGCTCTTTCCATCGTGAGCAAAGACATCTCAAGAGACGAACAAGCTAAAATCCAGTCAAAAAAGGCATCGAACAACAAGGAAGCAGCAATTACAGGAAGTAGCTCATTTTATTATCAGGATTATCTACCGGATTTGAAAGAACAGACAAAGGGTTCGACAAATTCCACAGCTTCAAATAGTAATTATTCTTATAATTACACAGCGAAAGATAGTAAGCAAGAAATGCAGCTTCCACATTTTGCTGCGAATTCTAGCTCGACATCCTTTTCCAGAGGACAAGATTCAATTTCAACTGTTGCGGCTGGGCTGAATAATAATACCCCTTTTCCATTGAGCGTGGAGTGGACTAATCACCTGTACGTGGCTCATCTGCTCGCCGGAATGTCATCGGCACAATTAGCTCAAAAGGCGTCAACGTCGGCATTCATTCAGCAACCACAGGAATTTCGATATATGCCAACAGCTAGTACTGTTCCCAGCTTGATGTATAACAGCAACGTGTTCTTCAACACTGCTCAAAACTCCTTCCATCCATTGACTGAAAATAGCGCGAATTTGAATTCGAATTTTCTTCAAGCATTCAACGCTACAGCAGCTCATAGAACGACCGTGGAATCAACAGCGTCAACTGGATCGAACTCTCCTTTGGATCAGTTGAACAACTGCTTTGGACCAGTGGATACATTGTGCAATAACAGTAGCGACTCAGGGGCTTCCAACTCTGATAAAGAGAACAACTTGATCAACGTGGCCAAAATGGACAGCAGCTACTTCTCACTCTCTACGGACGAGTACTCGAATCAGTCCAGTTCAACTGGAGCCGCTTCTAGCTCAGGAGCATCAAACACGCAGATGGACGAGAACCATAGCGGGGACCAGGAGTGTGATTGCGACAAAGACAGTCTCCTGGCATGTACTGAGAACTCAAATTCAAATGACGTGAACAGCTTCTATGATGCTAGTGATGACGCAAGCAGCCAAATGACTGATGTGTCGACGGAGATCGACCAGGAAAATGAGCCTCCGAGGATGCAAACTGACAATGAAGCCGCGCTTAGTGCTAGTTCCATATTCCAGATTCCCGCTCTGATGCTAGCTGCTCAGAAATCACACGAGTATAAGGATATGGTCGCTGCTCAAGAAACATCCGGTGAGCTGACTACGAGTTGTCCTGCAGTTGTTACTGACAAGTTTTTGCCCCTGGACAGGTACCCAATTCGGGATTCAGGAAGTGCAATTGTTGCTCAATATTTGGCAAATCAGGGAAAACCGAGAACGGCGTCGCAAGCTTACACACCGGAAGCACATTTAAGCTACGCATCTCAAGTCGGCAATCAAAATAATTCAAAACAGTGTCAAAAACCTGCTTTGACACCCGACACGTTTGCTGCTACAAGACAAATTATTGCAGATACTCCAATTACACCAACTGCCGATTCGAAGTTTGGACAAGATTTGAATGAAAATTGCGTAGGTGCTCTGAGGTGCCCGATGCCTGAGCTCGGCTGGGGAGATAGTAGAGTCTGCTGGGAAGATATGATTGCGGATGATGACGTAACACACCGACAGAATAGGAATGCTCTTGAGAATCACACTAAAATCACTGCTCAACACAGAGCAGTAGTACTCGAATGGTTATCGGAGGTGTCTCAATCTTACCATTTGCGAAAGGATACCTTCTACTTGGCTGCCAATTTCTTCGACCGGTTTCTATCTTTGACCAAAGGAATAGGAGCCGACAAGTTGCAACTCCTCGGGACCACTGCTCTCTTTACTGCGTCCAAAATTGAGGAAATATATCCTCCGCCCACAAAAGAGTTCGCCAATGTGACTGACGGTGCTTGCGATACTCTCGAAATAATTGAGACCGAAGTTTGCCTAGTCCAACATCTTAGATGGAAATTGACTCCAATGACGTCGCTGCAATGGCTTCTCCTGTTTTTGCAAATCAAAAACGCCAAGTACAGTCCAGGGGCTACTGCTGATATAATCAGATCCTTTTCTGTAGGCGAGAGAACCTCTTCGAACAACCTGCTCATACATTCAACTTTTGACCCAATGCTATTCTACAGAACGTCTATGCTACTGGACTTGTGCACGCTGGCATATGAATCGGTGCAATACGCTCCCAGAATTTTGGCGGCGGCTACTCTGTTAGCTTTCGACGCGTCTTTCAAACAACTTTTCACATGTTTGGACCAAGAAGAATTGAAGAGATGTTATACCTGGGCAAGACCCTTTGCAATTGTGGCAAAGGATTTGTTTAGTAAAGAAGCAGAATTCGTCATAAGCGAGGACAAGTTTAGATCCAACACGATGATTCATTTACATACTGCGAATATGAGTGCGCTCAAACAGGCAGAAGCGTTACAAGCAACTTTGTCTCCTCGGAAACTGAAGGCAAACGCCAACCTCTTTGCTGTCCCCTCCAGTCAGTCATCATCTGGAGGCGATTTGAGGGTAAAAACCTCTCAACTAGATGATGATGAGGACTGCTCATTCTTCTCAATTAACCCAGCCGACCAGGTAAACATGGTGCTAATATCTCCGCCTTACGATGAGTAAGTTGCTAAAAGAGGACAGATGAGCCTATGGTATCTTTCTTGCCTTGTGACATTAGATCGCAATAATCTTCAAAACTCTAAATTTTATAATATAAGCCTATTTTGTGCTACCTGAAGTGCTCTTCATAGTGTTAATCTTGTGCTGAATTCTGTCAAATGTTTGATTTATTGGTTTGTAACAGATATCTATTTTTATGTGTCCCTACCCACCCCCAATATTTGGTTTAAAATCTTAGAATAACAGCATACTTTTCAATCAATTTGAGCCAGATTACAAGTGCTAAATCAAGTGCTAATTTTATCTCGTGCAATTGTTACGATGCATTGTCTAACCTAACATTAAAAAGATACTATTTTAATTAGTCTATCTGTAAGCTATCTGTAAGCTGTCAAAATTTCAGGATTAGACCATTTATAAACCCTCTCTAGGTGACTTGCTTTGTTAAATAGTTGACTAGTACCATTGCACAAATATAATTAAAAACCAAGTAGAAATGACTTAATTTTGAACGGGCTGTTACTGCAAATTGCAACCTTTCCGCATTTTAACTCAGTTTGTGTTTTAAGTTCTGGTTGAACGTTTGGTGCTAAATATGCGGTTATGTTTGTTTCTATCGTTTCCCTTCTAGTGAAAGTTTCAATTAATAACAAAACAAAATGTCAATATTTGATCAGTTAATAAATTCTCAATTTAATGTTTCTGTATTTTTCGTGTTTCTGACTTCAATTTAAAACTTGGAAAAACTAGAACTTGTGTTTGAGAAAATTAGACTGAATCGGGAACTGGACATTTTCGATTAAACAGTCTTATAACACCTCTGTAAAAGTTGACTTTTCTTTGTTATGAAACTTCAATAATTTCGAGGTCACTTCGCAGTTGGTTTAGTGGTAAAGCATGCACCGTGCGATCCTAAGGTTAAGGGTTTATTTCCAGCCCGGGCTGTGTATTTTTTTGATAAATATGGAAGCAACTTTGAACATTTTTTCACTGTAGTTGAAACTCTCTTAAAGAAATTTACCAACTCTGATTATTTAAATTTTTCCTTTTCATAAATCAATCAATGATGTCAATGCGCTATTGTTTTTTTTCAGGAAAAAGAAAGCCAACGCTCAAATTTACTTTTGCGGTTGAAATTCAGTTTTCTCTTTCAGATCAATTCAAATTCTGACGGAGGGCAAATTAGGAGCTAAACCGTGTTTAAAAAACTGCGGTTTTACAGCAGCCGTCTCTTTTTTGGTTTCTTTGTTATCAGTTTGCTACAATTGATCAGTTACCGTTTCGTCGATTTAGTGATAATAATTTCTTGTTTGGTACTGCAGGCACTGAGAAATGGCCCTGAGGCTAAATTTGAAGTGCAGCCACTTTTTGTAGTCGGAATTCCACAAGATTCGGGCAAATACGATTTTGGTGCGAGATCAACCCAAATTACATACAATTTAAGTATAGGTATACAAAAACAGAAATGTAAAGCTCGGTTTGATAGCTAGGTCTGCGGTTTGAATCCCGTTGTCTGTTTTGATTTTTTTGACAGCTTGTTTTGTTATTTTTGTTTTGCGATTTTAAAGATACCGTTTTGCCAATTTTTTTGCTTGTCAACGAAGAGCAGCTTAAAATTTGTGTAAAAGACATGTGAGCTCGAAACAAATCCTCACAGCAATACAAAGTATTCCGAGGGTGGATTAGGCTGCTGTCTAATGAAATCTTTTCATATAATTTCTTAAGATCTATGTTCCGGAAGTATCCAATTGCTCAATCCGACAGTATAATTGATCCAGTTTGTAAAAAATCTGTCAAGCAACCACTGGATTCCTCTGATTCTCCAAAAAAAATTTGAAGAGGAACTTCATAATTTCGAGGTAATGGTGGATGCAATATTTCGAGAAAATGGTTTATGAAAACTTATCTGGAATCGGACTTCTCAAGAAAATTAGCTGCGAAAATTCTAACCCTTGCTACTTTACTACACAGTTTGCAATGTTTAAGTGGACAGATTTTTTTTGTATGAACTGGATCCTTTGAAAAATCATCCTTTTTTCAATGAGTTTGAAGGTTTTATGAATCAGTTAAATTGTCATCACTGACCCCGCCTTAAATTTATTTGTCAGCAAGCAATTCAGTTTTTCAATCTAACGTGAAACGATGTCAAGAAACTATTCAGCCAAAAAGAAAGTCGAAAAATTTTTTTAAGTTATTTTTGAAGTTGTTTGAGTACTACACGACTTGTTTTCGCGTTCTCATTATCGTTTTTTATGGGTTTGATTGAAAACGGAATTGTTTGTGATAAATACATTTAAGATGGGGGTAATTCGTGTACCATTTCGAAGCGCAGTCCTAATTCAATCTACTATTGGAAAATTGCTATGAAAAAGACTACTCAAAAGTTGCTCTTAAGGTTTTGCTTCACAAGACTAATACAGTCTTTTTTTAATTTCTTCTCGCAATCATTATTCAATTTTTGAGTTGGGGAAGATTGATCAAGCATAGATTTTGTGTTTAATAATTGTGATGTCAATTATTTGACAAAATTTAAGTGATACTTTAACTGAGGGACTGGGTAGACAGTTATTTATTTATGAAAAAAAAATTTAAATTAGAAAAAAGATAGAAACGAAAACACATCTTGCTTTTAGAATGTTCAATTTTTCAACGGCGCGCACGATGCTGACCATGCCTCTATGGTTATGCGATGTTGGAGTGTTTTTTTTAACTTTTAAGAGTCAGCAGCGTTGATTTGGTTTGGTTTGTTTTAAGATTCGAAAATCTCATGCTTTTTATGATGAGTGCCATTGAGATTGAAAACGATCGGATTGTTTGGACTCGTATTGTTTAAACTCCTCATTCAAAGGACCAGCTGAAATTTTTAATGTCTCTGTAAACAATCCGAAGATGTTGTGAACAGCGCCAACCATTTGCTACTAAACTGAAAAGGGAGATATCTTGAACCAAATAGTCGATGCAAGAAGTGCAAATTCTTTTCAGTCAAGCAAATAAACATTTTATTGCAATCGAATATTTCGACATCCGTGGTTCAGCAATTTTCAAAATGTGTTTAATTTACGCATTGTTGGACAGCACACCAGTTTTAAAAGCGAATGCTTCAATATGACCGTTAACGCTGAGCGATAAAATAACAGCAACTATTCATGTGAGCTTTGTTTTTACTTGGTGGGGGTGTCCTGGTTATCAAAATAGAGACGAGGTAGTTATGCGCGCGATGAGTGTATCATAATTTTATGATGCCAGCCGAGTTCTAGCCAGACTACTGTAATTTTTTTCAAGTTTTATTTGATGATGACATGCTTTTACTTTCTCGTTTGAGTATTTGGTTTTGATTTAGACGGATGTTATATTCATGCAATGCAAATTAGAACAAAAAAAGATTAATGTGCAATAAATCAATTAAATCCTAAATCAATTGGAGGCTTCGAATTAGACTTAAGTCGTTAAGTTGCTAATGGTAATTGATTGTATGTTAAATTGGCGAAAGCTGAAACATAATCAATGTTTTCTTTTTTGCTCAATGAAATCACAAACGCCAAAATACATGTAGTTTACTGGTGTGAGAAAGGGCAACTTGCAAAGGGTCCGCTTTGGAGTCCCGTGCTTTGAACGCTCAAGACCCAGGAAGCATTTGAAGTTTCTCGGTATTTGCTGGCGTTATATGGCAATGCCTGTGTTATGTACATGAAGACATGTTGATTCTGGAAGTAGGCTGTGAACATAGGATTGTCTATTTGCTTCTGGTTGTAGTCATAGAGAACATTCTGTGGTCAAATCGAACTAGCTCATGCTGTTGTTTAATGCAACATGTATCTTGGTATTAAATTCTAATGATTTGCTCAGAATATTTGCGACAATACAGGATGTGCTGTTGGTAGCTAAATTAATTAGAGTCGGCGTCCTTTGATGTTTTAAATAATTTTGTTGTGGCCGGATTCGGACGACTAACAAATGATCTACGATTTCTATATTAATTAAATAATTGTCAGTAAGTGGTAGTGTGGATTGGCACAGATTTCGTCTTACTACAGATTTCGTCCTATTTATTTAGCGGATTTCGTCCCATACAGATTTCTGTGGGACGAAATCTGTTTACGCTTTGAAATGGGACGAAATATGTTGAAATTAAAATTGGACGAGATCTGTCTAGGACGAAATCAATCTGTCACAGCCGCTGGTGTGTCCTTGTTGTTCCGACTTTCGATACGAAAGTAACGGAATATTTGTGCTCGGGGTGAGTTTTTTTTTCTTCAGACAAATTTCGACTTTTTAACTAGCCATTTTTGACAGAATTTTTTTATATCATTCAAAAGGTATTGTTGACCTGAGCTTAAATTTGAAAAGAAATTTCACCTGTGATCATTTTTCGTAAAGTTATGAGGGTTTAAAGATTGCCATTTTGGCCATTTTGATCAATTTGGGACAATTAACACGCGATATAATTCGCGCTATTAACGCGTAAGCGGAGATTTAATCCGTCTTATAAATCGTTCCAAATTGGTTGAACGAAGCTTCTTTGCCATAAATGATGTGTTACAAGGAACGAAAATTATCTTTTTGTACTTTATATGGCGTGTGGGGGGATGATTTTCATAAAAAAATTTCAAATTTTAGAAAAAAAAAATTTTCATTTTATTTTATTTCATATAATGTTTTTATGTTATTACTGCTGCTCCATAAACCTTCAAAAGCAGTCGGAACATTCAGGGCTTCGCCCTGATACGAGCAGTCTTGTTATTATTGCGCACATTAGTTGGTCTAAATTAAGCATGCATTCACATTCAGTTCACCTGATACAACAGTTTGATTAGTGAATCGTTGACTGTTGTTTAATTTTGCGCTAAAAGCTACTTATGCTTACCATATGGTATCTATTGTTAAGGATCTGATGTGAAGAAATATCCGTTTTTTAGATACGGTGCTCGATTTTCAGGCACCGCTAAGTTTTGCGAAGGGCAGTTAAATTCGCTGCAGTTAAATAATTAGGATTTTTCCTAATTTCAGGTCTGTGTTGCCTCTGATCACTTTGTGTCGATATTACCCAGGGGTTGAGCGATAGATTGAAATATTTAAATTACAGATGCAACCGGAATTTATTTTGCCGGAATTCCGGAACCGGAATTACTAACTGCCGGATTCCGGAATTCGTTTATAGTGCTGATGAATAATGATATTTTTGGTAATCATGGTTTTACTCCATGATAACATTCCACTTTTGAATCAATAATTCAAATGTTTGAAAGTTCGTTTTTTTGATTGGAAATGATAGTAAAATTGAGCACAAAATTCCGGTATTTTTTTACCGGATTCCGGAACCGGAATTCACTGTAAAATCAGCCGGAATTCCGGAATCCGGTGCATCTCTAATTTAAATAAATATTCATTCTTTTAAATAATTATTTCCAACAAAAAATAAGAGCAACCTGTCAAAATAAAAGTAGCTCAGAAAGTTCCAAAGATAGTAATATCTGCGAAGAAATTGAAATATTCAAAAAAAATTTTGCTATAAACTTTCTGTTGTTTTTGAATTGGAGGTGATATAATTAGATACTCGGCATAAAAAGTGTAGGCAAAATAAGTTAGCAATAGTATCGGAATTGGAGCCTAGTGCGTTAATTACCTTGCCATGTGAATAAGTCTGAAAAATCGATAACTTCAGGTCCACTTTTGTCGAAACAGTTATTTTTTTCGAAATATTGTTCTGGAACCCCAATCACGACTAAAAAGGGGCTTGGGATGCAATATAATACCACATTAGAGTTACAGTCACGGGACATAGAAGTTGCAGCTTTTGATTTTGACGAGAAAATGAACGAACTTTTTCTTAACGTTTAGTTCGTTTTCTCTGCAACTATGTAAGAAACAGGATTCAAATTTTGACTAAAGGTAGATGAAATTATTATAATCTTATTTTGAAGGCGAAAAATTAGCCAGCTTATGATAACTAACTTAAAAGGTGATCTTGCTGTGGAAACGACCTCACAAACAATACAAGGAATTCAGGGTGGCCACAGTATCAGTCCTGTCAGAGCCAAATCAGTGCGAAGCGTGATCTGTCAGTGCCATCAGTATCATATCAGTGCCACTAGTGCCAGCAAATGATTATTAGTGCCAGATTTTTTCAACGCTTTTTACTTAATCGTTCGAAATCAAAAATCAAAGCAGGCTACACAGGAAAAGATTTTTTTTCAGGTAGCATGAGCAGCTCTGAGAAGAGTAAGTTAGTTGGGTAAAAAAATTGGATCATAAAAAATTAGGCCAATGAAAAAAAGTTGGTTTAAAAAGCCAAAAAAGGCTTTTTTTTCAAAAGATGTCAGTGCCTGGCACATATTTTCATCAGTGAGAGTATCAGCGCCGTCAGTGCGTGCGATTGAATTACGATTTCCTACTAAGTTCAGTTCATTTCCTTTTTCAAAAGGAAGGCAAATTCCATTACCTAACAGCTAAAGTGGAAAGGTCACGAAAAACATGATCGACTTCTTTTTTCGAACATGAAATTTATTTTACAGATTTCCCAGTGAATCAACTAATTTACCTGTTAATCCAATTTTTCCAAGTTGGGTTGATATTCATCAAAAAAGTCAATCATATTTTTTTCTAGAAATTCAAAGTGCTGTAATGCCATCATTTTTTTTCGAAATTCGGAAACCTAGATTTTTTCAAAAAAAAGTCAGTTTTTTTTTCTTTACTTGCATTCATTGACTCTTTTCCAACAGTTAGTTGACATATTTTTTGTTAATATCAAAATATCATAATGAATTTTTGAAAATCGGTTCAGTTTTCGATTTTTGTTTGTGATATTTTGTTATTGTACTGAGCCATTCGCCTGTACATCAGCATCTTAGTAAAATATTCATTTTAAAATTGACTGTTACTTGCTTAAATTGTAGCATCTGATGGTCATGGTTAGTAGTTAAGCTTAAGTTTTGGAATGTTTGCATTTAGACGTGCGAATATTTTTTCTTGCCGAGGAAATTATAAAATTCAGTCCTAATCGTTAATTTTTGGAGAAACAAGTTGATAAAACATTCAAAAATTTTTAAATTATTTAATCCCCCACGCGATTTTTGTGTACACGCAATTTTTAAGTGCTAAGTCTGGTTGAAAAGTCCAAATTTACTGTCAAATTTATGTCAAAAGTTTAACCACGATGGTTGGTATCAGGCCAAAGGTTTTTGTTCTGACTGTCCTTAAATGTCCAAAAGATTAAGTTTTCAGAGAAAAAAGTTGATAAAACCTTCGAAAATAATGGAAAGTAGTTTAAAACATTTAATCCCCCACGCGCTTTTAGTGTACAAAGTGCTAAGTCTGGTTGAAAAATCCAAATCTAATGTCTCAATCCACTTTGGAATGATTGAATTCGCCGCTTACATTTTAGTAAAACGAAGTATGTTGCTTTGCTTTTCTCGAATTGGCAATTTTCAAACCCCCATAACTTTGCTAAGAATGGTCACAGGTTCATATATCTTTTAAGTTTTGAGCTTAGGACAAATAGCTTTCAAGTGATCAAAAAAGGTTTAAAGTTTTTTGGTCTTTTTAAAATGGTTAGTTTAAAATCAGATATATATCTGAACAAAAAACTAACCCGTGCACAAATATTCCGTCACTTTAAAGTCAATTAAAGTCAGACCAATTATGATCTTTTCACATTCATCATTTTTTTTTGGTTGAGACCGGATTTTGATCAAACTTGACGAGTGGTGTTGCAGTTGCTACAGATCGATGCGCCAGCGTGTTCTTGGACAATATAGGCCGTCAACATGTGCAGTGTTCCGCCTAATTTTTTACGCTTCGTTCGGTGCTACAGTCCTTGTCTGTAAAATATGTTTTTCGCTATTTTAACTTAACAAATTCTCGTTGCTCTTCAGTCCAGCACATTTGCTGTCAGCATGGGGTGTAATTAGGGTACGCGTGTGATTTGACGCCAAGACGGGATATTTTCCATGCATTATTGATTCTGCAGTCGTGTATGTGTCAGTCAACTGAGCTGTAACAATTTGCGTTTGGGTTTAATGTACTCTCAATTAAAACTAATTAAAACAATGTTGTGTCCTATTGGCATGTTTATAGGCCGCTCAATTTAATCCTGATCCCGCCCGTGGAAATGTGTCACAGCAGAGCTGCCACAATGTGGAATGGGCGTTGATCAATATTGGCTGTATTTTGAGTATGATAGCCTTAAGATATTCAGTTTACACGGAGCTGTAGGGCTTACTAATTAATGACTCACGTCATGAATATGTCCATTGAAATTTCTCCAATGTTTGTAAGGGTCAACTGCAACTCATGTTTTATAGTCACAACATGAATTATGTAGCCTTCGTTTGTATTTAAAAAGAAAGTTAAAAAAAAGATAAATTATGCAACACTGCCTGTGAGTGAATAGAGTTGACAAAAACTTAATGTGAAAGAAGTAACTCTTATTGGTGTTTTGGAAACGTGCTCATGTTTTACACAATGAGAAGCGTGTTTTGACCAATGAATTTTTTAAGGTTAAATGTGTCAATCAGTCTGCCTTACCAAGATCTAAAAAACTGTCATCATCATGTTACTGTGGTTCATTTAACCTCAGGGTACCTGACTTATATCGTGCCACCAATCAGACAGAATTATCTGACTTTCTGCCATCGTAATGCTCTGAAAAATACGACAGAGCAGATCATCAGCTGAAGATGTGTTGCAGTTGCAGTGTGTTTGTTCAAGTTCTAGGAGTGTTGCTGCTGTTCGTATGCTATAGTGTATGTCTGGTGTTGTACTCGAAACATCTGGTAGTGACCTACTCCGACCCGGACTCCCAAGTCCACCTAACATTCCCAAGCTCGTTAGAATCTCTCAGACATTGTCTGCACGTGTTGTTAGGCATACAAGCAGTGGCACCAGTGCAAGTGCTGTGTCTGTTCTCAGCGGCATACATTTTCAAACAGAGCTTCTCAATCCCAGGTAAGAATTTGCTCAAATTATTTAAATCGCTGCCATGTTTGCAATGAAGGCAAATTTTTTTTGGATTTAATTTTATATTGGATAAATGTTTTTTTTTTCCGTAAGCAACTTTGTCCACAAATAAAACAACTGTTTTATTTGTTTGGTAAACTTTTTCCCCTAAACAACCTTGTCCACAGGACTCAATGGACTCCTGGTGTACCTTGCTTCATAGTTCAAGTTTTGTTGTATCTCTTGTACACTTAGCCTGGTTGTAACGAATACGCATGGGACAGTAAAGGTCCTGTGTCTGAATCTGACCAAACTAGTTTTTTTTCAAACGGTAAATATTCAGGATCAAAAAAGCAAAAATTCGGCCTATTATTTGTCTGCTTATGTATTGTCGGCTTAGTTGCCACATCTAAGAATCGTTTATTTTAGCTATGTGCAAGTTTTACTGCAGTTGCTTTTAGCATTTTAAAAATCCGGGCGAATTGAAATTTGCTTTTCACATTGGTTGTAATTTTTTTATAAGTAAGAATTTTTTTTTATAAGTAACATTTTTTTATAAGTAAGAATTTTTTCGGCATGAAGGGTTTCTGCTCAGGTATTTTCGGCTTTGTTTCCACTTGGTTGTCATAAATTCAAATCCAATCAATTATCCGACGCGTCTGGCGTAGAGGTAAAACAGCAGTTTTAGATGGCAAAGGCTTATGATTTCAATCCGGCCTTTTTTTGAAACAGAGTTTTTGTGCTTTTTTGGACTATCGTCCGCTGTTTATTTTGTCGACTTGGTTCGCGTAATTCAGTGGTTCAGCTTTATTCCAAGTTGCTGTAACGCCAATACTTGAGACGACAAAGCCCGGGAGTTCGATTACAGTCGAGATCTGTTTTTTGCAACTAGAAAAATTTGGCTAGTTTTATTTTATTGTCTGTCTGCTTTTTTGTCTTCTTATGTCCGCAAAAAAAGGAATTTTTTGAAAACTTGCTTTATTTGTAGCATTCGCAAAGCTTTTTTTAGAGTTTCCAATGAAGCAGGCAATTTTGTCACATTTGTCACGGAGATTTTGTGCTTCTGTTGCAATTTTAATTGATCAAAACGATTTTTTGAAGTTTTTTTTTCATTTTTTCCGTTTGATTTTAATCATAGTCATTCAAATTTGTATCGCAAGTTGTGCGAAGGTCAGCTTCGCCTCTGTGTTTAAATATCCTTCCTTATCGAATCTTGATTTTTATGTTGTTAAAATTTATTTTATTTGGCTTAATTTATATCAATTTAGTCGCCTCTTATTGCGTTGTTTGAGGACCAGAAACGGTTTTGTGTGTGTGTGTGTGCGCGTGTGTGTGTGTGTGTGTGTGTTTTGAGGGGAAAAGGGACTTCTGTTTCAGAATTTTTTGAATTTTTTTTTGACATGAAGGGTTGCTACTCAAGTACTTGTCGCTTTGTTAACGCTTGGTAATTCAAATTTAATCAACCATCCGGAGCATCTGGCGTAGAGTTTACACAACTGCTAATACAGTCAGTCTTGTGGTTCGCATCTCGTAGGGACCTGATTTTTTGCAAGTTGAAATTGTTCGGCTAACTTAGGTTATTGTCTGTCTGCTTGTTTTTGTCGGCTTAGTAAAGTTTCAAATGCTGCAGATTTTTATTGGGATATTTTGGGCTCTTTGTTGCAGTTTTTATATTTTTTTTGTCAAAAATAATTTTTTGAAGTTTTTTTCAATATTTTTTCGTTGATTTTAATCATAGTTAATCGTTTTTGTATTTTATAGTGCAGCTTCGCCTCTGTGTTAAAATTTTAACGACTTGGAACGCCTCAAAAGTGAAAAAGTGGCCTAAAACTGCCGTCCAATCATCCCTGCTCGAAGGAAAACAAATATTGGGGATAAAAAATACTTCATTTTCGTAACTTTACGGATGTAGGTGATTGCGTCTTAGATGAATCAGAGTTAGCTAAATGAGAAGCATCAAAAATTCGAATTGATAAAATACTGAAATCGACAATTTGATAAATTGTTGAAGGAACGTACGCAGACACGAGTTATGCTAAGAGTTTTGCTTGCTTGGAATTTTAGACTTGTTGAGAACTGAAGAGTGAATCTTTTCGAAATTCAACTGTTAAAGTAACGCCATCTATTTTGTTTGCAGGAAGTATGTTCCTCAATCTGCTGGCAGGTGCTCTATTCCCAATATCAATTGCATTCCCCTTAGTGTGCTGCCTCTCAGCTGCAGGGGCGTCTCTGTGCTTCGTCTTCTCAAAACACGTGTTCAGTCGTCTGTTCACGCATTTCTTAGCCAAACGAATTGAGTTCTTCCGCGCACAAGTGGAAGCCAACACAGACAGTCTCATATACTTCCTGCTGTTTGTCAGGATATTTCCTTTCACCCCAAACTGGTTTGTCAATATTGCCTGTCCAGTTATTGGAGTGCCTTTGGGCAAATTTTTCCTGTCGGTATTCCTTGGTCTGATGCCGTACAATTACACTTGTGTGCAATCTGGTGCTATTTTGGCTACTATGCAATCGGTCAACGATATCTGGAATCAGAAGACGCTTATCAAGCTCTGTAGCATAGCTCTCATCATGTTGATACCTATAGCTGCTAAAAGGATTCTGTCCGCCAGGTTGAATGTTTCACCTCAGGGAAGAACACGACAAGCTAGCATTACTGATTCGGCTACACCGGTGGAGAAGCTGGATTAGTTGTGCTGAATAAATTTTGTCAATCATTTTGTAATTACATAGTCAAATTATGTACATAAAGCTCCATATTTCATCAAAATACATCACCATTTTTAGCAAAAACTAAATGATCGAGATCAATTTTTACATATTTAGATGGTATCTTTTTTCCTTTTTAGTGAAAGTTGTATGCTTTGCTTCTAGTATTTTTTCTTGGTTTTTCAATGACAGCGCGCATAAGAACAAAATTGCTCAAAAAATTGCTTATTGTCATAAGAGTGATTTAAGAACCAATCAGTTTCTTGTGTTTTTTATCTTATGAAAGTTTACGAATTTCTTCACCTGTAGTGATTACAGGTGTTTAAAAATGGACAGCTACTTAAAATATCGCTGTCTGAACGCTCGTAACAAGACTTAATCCACTGTATCAAAAGCCCCTCTGACGACCCAAAGGGTCCCCCTTTCGTGCACTATTTTAATGCATCCTGTTTTGGCTGACCGACCCTTATTTTTTTTCTCAAGGCGGCTTTGGCGCAAATATATACTTATTTTGAGGGAGAGCGAGCGCCGAAAAAATGCAATTTGGTCGACCTAAAAAAAGCGACAAAATTTATGAAAACCTCCCTTCGAAAAAATCTCAGATCCATCCGCCTTACGCTGTATAAAATTTGATTGTTTCGGAAGTTTACATTTTGATTTAAAAATGATTTTGCTCATGTTTTCACTGCGCCAAATAAACAAGTGATCCACCGACTTGGCTTTCATTTATAAATCAAAATGTGAAGTCGGTGTATCCCTTCTGTTTATTTGGCACAGTGAAAACGAGCAATTAAACAGTCAGTGGTTTGAGCTCCGCTGAGACTTCCACGTTTTTGCGTGGAAAATTCATTGCATTGTCTAATTTCTGCGTTTGACGCGTCTGCATGAATTTTTCTTCGGCTTAGTTCCAGTATTCAAAATTTTTGTGCAGGACTTAATTTTGTGCAGGTTACGTATATTTTGCGATCTACTGCCATTTGTATGAACAAAGATTTTTCGATAAAAAATTAGGTTGGAAAGAAGCATTAAAAGAAACTTTCGAATGAACCACGGGGGTCCCAAATTGCATGATTTGAAAATAATAGTCTTAAGTCACAAAAATGGCATGGGAAGTTCCTAAGTTCACAGTTACGTCATGAAGATTCAGTTATGATAGAGATTTACAACTTATGAGAACGGACAAAATGAGCAAAAAAAACTTGAATTCGTTTAAATAGGACAGTTTTTGCATCAAATATGTACATTTCAATCCTTATTAGTGTTTTCACTGAGAAAGGACCAATATCCCTGCTACATTTCACAGCGTCGAACTCAAAATCATTGTTACAAATCTTTACTATATTTATATGCGAGTGACAGCTATCTCCCATGTTCAAGCATAATATTTTTGCATGTTTAACGAAAGAATTTTTTGATGTTTAAGCTATATCATATATTGCAATGCTTAGGAAAATTGTTCAATTAGTTTTTCGCAAGGTCATCAATTCTTCAGTATTTTTTTCGAGGCCAAATTAAGTCTGTCTGTCTGTATACCTGCTTTTTAATTAATTTGATTATGTCTGTCTACCCGTCGCCTAATTTTTTAATTTTCATCTATTATCTATCTAGTATCTTTTATTACGTATTTAAATGCGGGCTTAAATTTTTCGAAGAACTTATATAAAACTTCACAAAATTTTATGGTCACAAAATTTTATGGTTCTTCAAAATTTGTATAAAAAAACTTGAATAAAAAACGGTGCATAATTTTTAATTGCGAACCTTGTAATTGGGTGCTGTCAGTGTACACTCAAAGATTGTTGAAATTTGAAGCACCGGAGGTGCGGTAAACGCTAGTAAAGATTAAGAGTGTAAACTAATCAATGATACTAACTATAAGGAAGGAATTATCAATATAGGCGCGTCATGGTGAGCTTGAAACTTCTCGTTGTATTTCTAGTGCATAAACAAAGCAGGATCAAAGGGTGAAGATTCCACTGACAGTGGATATCGTTCCCAACAACTTCCTATGGAGTAACTTCAAAACACTGGGATGTCCTCTTTTAGCAAGTAGGCCAAGGAACTAATTAAGTGTACTGTATGACAATGACAACAAAGTGCTAAGTTTTACCCAATGATCGGAAACGGACTTGCTCGAGTAGCCTTAGCCTGGAAGATGTTCTTCTCCGTTAAAAATTTCCAGGCTACGAACGGAGAAGAAGACCTCACACAGAGCGTGAAAAGCGGTCTCACTCATGATTTCACTGCATCATTTGCGAAGTGTTTTGGCGGGTGAAGCCACAGCCGGCTTTACCTTAAATTTATTTTTAAAAAGTCAATTCTCAAACTTAAACCTAAACAAGGTTACTTGCCTCTTGCCAGCAAGCAGATAGAAAATCATGAAGAAAAACGCTGCTAAATCAAGAAAAAAACACTACATCCTCTTCTCTGACTTCGATGGCTGAACACTTGTGTCGAGAATTCCAAGTTTGATCAGGGAGGGATTTCACTGCTCTACATCTTAAACAAACTTGAAACCGAACGCAGCTGCGAAATAATCATTGACGTAAGAGGATTTCATTCAGTTTGATAATCTGATGTGGGATACGATTTCAATAATAGAGGATATATTCTCAAAGATTTTAGATGGGTGGTCTTCCAGGGATCACAAGTTCATTTTGCCATTTGAATTCTGGCATAATCGGGAGTTTCCGGACCGAAATTTTCCAGAAGGCTTGTCGACTCCAGGGGTTTGTCTCACTCATCAGATGAGTGGGCATCCTGAAGACCAGAGAGAGAGTTTTCATTGCGCTCCTCCTCGAATCTGATGTCACACACTTTTTCGGCACAAACTTCACGGGGTGAGTCATCTTCGTTTCTGCTACTGCCAATGTCCGCTTCATTGGCAAACACTTCCTCGGGCGGCGATTCACCAACGTCTCTGGTAGATCCCACTAAACATTCATGAGGAAGTACTCGAGGATCGATATTTCGTCAATCGTCATTTCCCGGGCTTCAGCCTCACCAACTACTTGGTCTGAGCCGTCTAAATAGAGAAAATTGAAATAATTCACAACTGAAATGAATTATTCCGCAGATTATTTGAGAAAAGGATCAAGATATGTCAAAGTCTTCGCAATTAAGAAACTGACCAACCGTTGACAAAGATGATGATGATCCGGATGAGTAAGACGACAGTTGTTTGCTGCACCTCTGCGAAGTACCTTGCGCACCTCATCCTTAGCATCTGAAGGCGTTTCAAGGCCTTGGGCGCTCTGTAGGGGCACTTTTTCGTAATTTGTAACTCCAGTTGTGGTTTCTGACACGTGGGGCTCAAATCAACCGGGACATGCTGCTCCGCCCGATCTCTAAGAGACATTTCTAGCCATCTGTCTAGCTGCGGGTGTTCGGGATCGGCGTTGAGCTTGAAAAAGTCAAGCATGGTAGTAAGCCACCACCCAAAATATTTTGAGATCTAAAAAAGCTCCTGGTAACTCCTGCTCTCGAAATCGTGCCGTACTTCCTTTTGTCTTGAAGTCCTCGGTCAACTGCGATAAATCGCCTGAGTTCTGAGATATTATATCACGCGAAAGTTAGAGCACCAGCTGCGAGCATATGTCAAATGCAGACCAAATTTTTGTTTGAGCATTTTTGAAGGCCTCTTCAATTAACTGCGGCTGCTTTTTCGGAGGCATAAGATGTTTTTTCAAGTATCAGATTTGGCAATTTATCACAATTGAACAGATAAGAAATTGAACAAAATGCGTTTAGTATCAACCCAGTCCTCAAATTAAACGAGTACTTTTTTTCATTAAATCCATCGCTCGAAACAGCTTTGAAACAACTTACAAACTTGCAATCATACCAAGATTAAACCTTCAACCCAAGCAACTTTGTATTTATTCAAAGCAATCTTAAACCAAAAATTACAATCAAAGGCGACAAATTTAAGACAGGGTCAGCAAACATACCTCTAGTTGAAGAAATGAGAAGGATGAAAAACACTACCTCAAGAGAGGAGTGAACAATCAGAAGTGAAGTATTGAGGTAAATCAGAAGTGAAAAATACATACGAGATTTAAATCAGAGAAAGAGGCATAAAAGTATTTTTTTGTGTTTCGGCCGGTACTCTGCAGTACGCAAGTCGCGGAGGGGTCGATATTCCAGTGGGAGGGGGTTGGGGTTCATGAAGAAGTCGATTTGTGTAGAATTGATGGACTAAGTTAACATCCCCCCAAATCTGTTTAAGCTGAACGCTGGGATGGAGGATCTTAACTTCTATTGGTATGGGAGGGGGCGGAGTGGTGGTGAGTATGTTATCTTGATGTCGTATGTTTTAACAATATGGTACAAAAAGTGACTCAAGATATAATAAATAGCGAAATGGCAATTCGCTATAAAACTTAACAATAGAATTGAATACAGCACAGATAAATTAGCACGCGAAGAAATGCAAAGAGTGAAAAGGAAACAAAAAAGTAAGCAATCGTGCTTTGACTGCAATTGTGCCTTGGGTTAAAGTTTTTTTTATTTTGGTTGTTTGTTCAATTGGACAGAGGATATCTAAGCCGAACGTAAAATGAAATTATTAAACGTTGCGCTCTGAAGCGCCCCCTAAACATTAGGCCTTATGCTGAAATCGTGTCATTCATTTAATATATAAGTTGCCACGAGTTGAAAGTCGCAGTTCATCAAGTCGCAATTCAGTACAAAAATACAAGTTAAAAGAGCCTCTGTTGAAGTTAAAGCTCAAAGTTGAAATAAAAAAACTGGTATCAAGCGCAATTCAGTCCAGAGTTTTGAGTCAAATTCCCTTTGTTGAAGTTTAAGCTCTATGTTTAAATCATAAAAGTGAGATCAAGTCAGATTTCAATTCAAAATTTCAAAATAAAAGAGCCTTTGTTGAAGTTAACCTCAAAGTTAAAATCAAAAAAGGGGTAACCAAGTCACAATAAATTCAGAGTATCAAGTTATCAGAGCCTTTGTTGAAATTAAAGCTCAAATTTAAATTCAAAAAAGTGTATCAAGTCCCAATTCAATTCAAAGTATCAATTTGAAAGAGCCTTTGTTGAAGTTGAAGCTTTAATTTAAAATAAAAAAATTGGTATCAAAA